TTCTAAACCTAAAAATCGGCAAAATTCGATACAGCCATCAATTTCTGCATCGAATGCGAGGTTTTTTTCCAAACACTATTCTGCTTTCATTCCTCTGAATTTGGCCGATTTTTGGGTTTTGAATGCTCCTTTAGGATTATGCGCAGGGGCTATCGTTCTCTTTTTTTGTTGAACATTCAAAATCTGCCAATAATTTGGACCTGATCGATGCGATTTATTGCATTCCAGTTCGATAACGTCCCTTGAGCTTGACGAATCACCTCAAGAAACATTTATCAGAATGTTAAATTCCTACCTTGTCTAGTGGTCCAATACGCTATAACCGTACAGCTCTAATTTTATACAATTCTCCGAAGCGTGGAGCCGATTTGACAGCACCCCCGAAAATCCACCCCTCCGAATATCGGACGAGGCGGCAAATCCGCCTACCCTCGCCACCGTTCCCCATCCCTCCCCTTCTTGCGCCATCGGCCGCCGAATCGCTCTTAATGAGAGCCGCAAATGCGAGAAGCCCCGTCCCGGGCGGAGTTAATGTTTTAAGAATTAAATTACCGTTGACTAATTGAGGGAATTAGCCGGCCCGAAACCTCGGCCCGCTCCCGGCCAAACAACGCCTCCCGACAGGGCTCCCGTCACCCCACCTCCCGCCCAGTAACGTGACGTGCTTTGCGATATATCGATAGATCTGCCATTTAAACCCATGGAAAATAATCGATAAACAGGGTGTTCGTAACTAACACCTTAATAATCGATTCTTTACCATAGCTTCAAATAGGAAAATATCGATAATCGATTGTTCACGCCACGCCACTGCCTTCCGCCAATCCAACCAACCTTGGCTTCCCGGAACGAGAACTTTCGGGCTAAGTTTAGGAGGCTCCTTCAAGGGTTCTTTCGAGTCCCGAGTCTCTCGTCACGATGGATTTAAATAATACATCGCACGGATCCAAAAAATCAGAAATTGGAGGCAGTGCTCAGGAGGAACATGCTGCCGTGCTAAGGAAAAACGCCCTATGAACCTTCAGGCGTTGCCAGATTTCCTTTGGTAACACACGAATTTCCTGGTAAACTTATGGATATTTCTCTTTCAATTTTTCGGATAATTTTGTTCGCAATTTCGCCTAAAGTTCTTGAAAATTTCAAGGAAAAATATTCCTAACTTTTGTCGGGAATGAACATTTGAACAAAGTAAATTTGGCAACTCTTAAATGTTCATACGGCGCGCTTCCTTAGCATGGCAGCATAGTATGCGAAGAATCGTACGAATTTTGCTAAAAAACAAAAAAAAACTATGCGCATAATTTAATGAATTGATACTGAACAACCCCATATTGCAATTAGTGATTGGATGAGCCATGCAAAAAACATTCAAACGGAGGTATATACATTGCGGGTAACCCGCCTGCAAAAATTTGCTACGCTNAACGAAAATTACTGAAACCAACTCCTAACAAAGATATTAACGTTTTTATTTCACATTGGCTACAAGGAATTTGAACTGCCCGCTCACAAGAAACTCAGAGCTCTACGCGAGTCAAATCGCGCATCATAACGGTTTCAGCAAGCCTCTCAATCGAGCAATGTTCATTTTCCACCATGTGTTGTTCAAACTATAAGCTATTTGCTACAGCTGAGCCAAAGCGTCAAGATTGAGGTTGCCAGATTTTTACATCGCAGAGACTGTCATGATAACGTTTAGCGTGCGATGTGAATCACGTAGAGCATTGAGTTTTAATGAGCGGGTGGTTTGAATTCACACATCAAGAATCATCAAATATCTTAGTAAGGAGTTAATTTCGGTAATTTTCTATGTGCGCATCGTGTTTTACGTGAAATTTTAGTTAAAAAACATGTATCAGAATGCGGAAATTCGCACCTTGTCTAGTGGTCCATTTTGCAGATACAACACGGACATCCATCAAGCAGGAATATTTGTATCTCTGCCCCGTCATCAAAGAGAGTCCTTTCTCACTCTATTTCCGTGTTGTGTTGGTTCCGTTCTGATTTGTAGCGGTGCTTAAAGGGCTACGTGAGCAACACAGCCAAAGTATGATTTGTATTGAATTAGTTGGCCAGACACTATTCTGTGTCGAACTGGCATGCGATATATCCTATCAATTAGGTCCAAATTCTCGGCAGATTTTGAATTTTCAGCAAAAAAAGAACGATAGTCCTTGCGCATAAGCTTAAAAAATCATTCTAAACCTAAAAATCGGCAAAATTCAGGGAAATGAAAGCAGACTAGTGTTTGGAAAAAACCTCACATTTGATGCAGAAATTGATAGCTGTATCGAATGCGAGATTTTTCCCAAACACTATTCTGCTTTCATTTCTCTGAATTTTGTCGATTTTTGGGTTTAAAATGATTTTTTAAGCTTATGCGCAAGGACTATCATTCTTTTTTTTTTGCGGAAAATTCAGAATCTGCCGATAATTTGGACCTAATTGATGCGGTATATCGCATTCTAGTTCGACAACGCCACTTGAGCTCGACGAGTCACCTTAAGAAACGTTTATAGGAATGTTAAATTCGTACCTTGTCTAGTGGTCCAATACGCTAAAACCGTACAGCTCTAATTGCACACAATTCTCCAAAGCGAGGGGCCGATTTGACAGCACCCCCGAAAATCCACCCCTCCGAATATAGGACGAGGCGGCAAATCCGCCTACCCTTGCCACCGTGCCCCATCCCTCCCCTTCTTGCGCCATCGGCCGCCGAATCGCTCTTAATGAGAGCCGCAAATGCGAGAAGCCCCGTCCCGGGCGGAGTTAATGTTTTAAGAATTAAATTACCGTTGACTAATTGAGGGAATTAGCCGGCCCGAAACCTCGGCCCGCTCCCGGCCAAACAACGCCTGCCGACAGGGCTCTCGTCACCCCACCTCCCGCCCAGTAACGTGGCGCGCTTTGCGATATATCGATAGATCTGCCATTTAAACCTATGGAAAAAGATCGATAAACTGGGTGTTCGCAGCGAACACCATAATAATCGATTCTTTACCATAGCTTCAAATAAGAAAATATCGAGAATCGATTGTTCACGCCACGCCACTGCCTTCCGCCAATCCAACCAACCTTGGCTTCCCGGAACGGGAACTTTCGGGCAAAGTTTAGGAGGCTTCTTCAAGGGTTCTTTCGAGTCCCGAGTCTCTCGTCACGATGGATTTAAATAATACATCGCACGGATCCAAAAAATCAGAAACTGGAGGCAGTGCTCAGGAGGAACATGCTGCCGGGCTAGGGAAAAACGCCTTATGAACCTTCAGGCGTTGCCAGATTTCCTTTGGTAACACACGAATTTCCTGGTAAACTTATGGATATTTCTCTTTCAATTTTTCGGATAATTTTGTTAGCAATTTTGCCTAAAGTTCTTGAAAATTTCAAGGAAAAATATTCGTAACTTTTGTCGGAAATAAACTTTTGAACAAAGGAAATTTGGCAACTCTTAAATGTTCATACGGCGTGCTTCCTTAGCATGGCAACATAGTGTACGAAGAATCGTACGAATTTTGCTAAAAAAAAAAAAAAAAAAAAAAAAAAAAAAAAAAACTAATAAAAAAAAAAAAACTAAACTTTAATGAATTGACTGAACATCCCCATATTGCAATTATTGATTGGACGAGCCAAGCGATAAACATTCAAACGGAGGTATATACATTGCGGGTAACCCGCCTGCAAAAATTTGCTACGCTCTAGTGAAAGAACAAGATACTGATGTGAACATTTTGAATTAAGCACGTAATCAGTTGTTAATTATCATTGTAAATACTGTGTGAAATTCTTGCTTGTTGACAATGGTCTCGTCTGACACCTATGGTTTTGACTCAACTGACGGTGACTCCCATTTGGAACTTTACAATTCGTTTATTTGTGAGTAAACTTCCATCAATTTAGCGATTAATTGAAATTATGAGCATTTTTTTCATGGTGATGCGTGGGTCAGGCGGTCAACCGTCTTAAATTTCGAAAGTCTCAAGATAACATTTTCAGTAAATCCTGCCATTTTGAATTTTTGAATTTTGAATATTTAAGTTGAGATTCAAGCTCCTCGTTAAAACATACTCCCTGACACCATGACGGTAACAGTCAAGTTTCATACGTTAGTGCGCCTTCAATTACATTTGATACTGTGCAATACTTTCGTGGTGGAATAGTTGCATTGGCGCCTACAAACCTAACAGGGATACTTCATGCATTGCGCAATGCGCTCGCCTTGATTTTTGGGACATTTACTGAAAGAAAAACTCTTATTACTGCTCCAGCAAAAGTATGCAACGGGCCCATTGTAAAGTTGCAAATGGAATCATCGTCAGTTGAATACTCTCATTAAGGAGGATTTTAAATTTTGGAGAATGATTCGATTGTACACGGATGAAATGATAAATTCTGAAATAGTGAACTTATGTTCAGCATTTGTGAGCATCATATTGCAGTGCTACGTCAAGTATTTGCACACGATATAAAACTAAGCAGCATTTTGGAATTACATTTGAAAAAACGTCTCAAGAAAAGATCGGAAATGAAAATCCATTTTGCAAGTTTTGGCCCCTTTTATGAACTGTTTGTCTGGACCAAGAGCAAATAGAACACTTTGCAATCCGTCGCGATTTTTCCTACGAAGGATAAGAAATGTAATTTTAATTTTTCATTCAAGTCCAAATGTATGTTTGATTTTGTTAAAAAGGAAAAATAAAGATGAGAGGAAATCTTCGAACGAACAAGAGCGGATCCGAAATTCATTTTTGACGCTTGAGTGTAGAGTAAAATGAACTATTTTGCGGAGAAAATTCTGCCAATAGAACAAAATAAACTTTTTTGCGGTTTATTCTGCGCTCTTTATAATCGAATTTCATTCCTCATCAATATCACTCTGGATTTGGGAGGGGGAGGGATAGGTTTCGAGGTGTAATTTACTGTGGATTTTACTCCGAAATGTTTTACGGTAAAAAAGCGTCAATGGCTCATTACACCCCAATAGCTCAAAAAGTGTCAAAAATTACCTTAATTTCAGCAATGGAGCTTTTGTTTTTACTACACTTCTTCCGTTTCCTCAATTCATTCAGAACATGAAATAACTCTTGTAGAATAAACCCTGAAAATTAAAATTAAAATCATTAGAATAGTTGAAATTAGATCTTTAGGGCACACGGAGAAAAAAACTTAGTGCATGGGACCCGACGTTGGGGTCTTATGGATCTCTGAGGTTTTCGGATCACGCATCCGAAAACTTGAGGTCGAGCTGCCGAAGGTCGGGTCAGACCTCTGAAGTACTTCGGTATTTACTGAAAGGTTCAGGTCACATATCTGAAGTACTCCGGTACATACCGAAGTCCCTCGATGTTTGACCCGAATTTTGGCAGCTCAACCTCAAGTTTTCAGATGCGTGATCCGAAAACTTCAGAGATCCATATGACCTCAACTTCGGGTCCCATGCACGAAGTTTTTTTCTCCGTGAACACGAATGGAACGCTAAAACGCATGAGGGGGCAGTCACTTTTCACAAAGTTTGCTAAAGTCTTAGAAGAAACTACGATTCCCCAAAAATTTCGGTCGAGGAGCCCTAGCTCCAACCAAGGAGCACTTTTGAAAAAAATTGTTCAAAGAAAAAATCCAAGCTCTGGCCATTCAACCCTATAGGACATCCTGTGTGAGCCTCAATCATCAAAATGCGACTTCTTTGACGTTTGCAACTGACTTATTCTCGAGTTTGGAAAAATCTTACGTTCAACATCCCCCATTGTCATCGATTCGGACAAAAATGTCCACATACATCGGAAGACGTGCAGGAAATCTGGCAGCGATGCTCCAGAGCAAGGCAGGATAAACTTTAATATGGCTGAAGACGCGGGACTGAAAAAGAGACAAGCGAAGCGACTTTTAAGCTCCTCAGCCCTCCAGTTCGACCCCACCACCCGCCACACAGTGGATCAAGTCAATCAAAGAGGTCGCACATGATTTTTTTTACTAAAACCACAAATTTTGATGTTTACTCCTTCACATTTTATATTTTAACGGGTGATTCTAAAACAAAATTTCACGAGTAAACCAATGGAACAACTTTCAAAACCTCAAAATTTTGTTTGAAACGGAGTTTTAAGCTTTTAAAGTTTCCAAATTTTGTCCGACCTCTCCCATTCACTCGATCCACTGTGCGGCAGGTACGCTCTAAAATTGCAAGATATAATCCCCGCGGAGGACGGATCCGGGAAGTTCCCCTCTCGCTCTGCCGCTTATTAAACGCACATGTTAACAAAGGACACGGCTCCGGGCTCGAGGCGGAGATGACCCCTGTCTCTGTCTCTTTCCAACCGCCAAGTTCTCGAGAGGGATCGGAGGGAGAGAGGGGACATCTGCAGTCGCACCTGCCCTTGAGTGTTATCCCGTTGAAAAGCCACCCGTCCCGTCAAAAGACGGCTGTGAGCAGCCACCTGGTCGCACGAAAAATGCACCCGCTTTCTCATACCTGGGATATTTCGAGACGGATGGATGAATTTCGACAAAAATATGGAATCTTCTCTGGCGGACGGAAACCGATACTACGGATATTAAAGATGCCCTTCACTGCTCTGCCGTGCTGAGTAAAAACGACGTAAAGGTATTCGAATGTTGACAAATTTCCTCTCAGGCAGGAGGGAGGCTCCTCAATTATCCGCATACGAGAGGATAATTTACTCTCCCGAGAGAATAGTTGTCTCTCCCGAGAAAAAAGTTTTCTTTCCCAAGAAAATAGTTTCCTTTTCGGAGAAAATAGTTTTCTTTCCGGAGAAAATAATTTTCTTTCCGGAGAATATAGTTTTCTTTCCCGAAAAAATAGTTTTCTTTCCCAAAAAATAATTTTCTCTCCCAAGAAAATAGTTTTCTCTCCCAAGAAAATAGTTTTCTCTATCCCAAGAAAATAGTTTTTCTCCCGAGAGAATAGTTTTCTCTCCCAAGAGAAAAGTTTTCCCTCCCGAGAGGTTAGTTTTCTCTCCCTATAGAATAAATGTCTCTCCCGAGGACACTTTCTCCCGAGAGAAAATCGCACAACAATATTGTTCTGCTCGCTTTGGAAGGTGCAGCCAAGTATTACTTTCTCAGATTTATATAATTTTTTATTGTTTTATCCAACTGAAGAATGCTGACTTTTCAGCTCAAACTGTTTGGTGATATTTACGTGAAAATTAGCCTTGTAACTTCGTTACCTATCGTGTAATATGTTTTATAATTGTATAACTTGTCATGGGCTGCGGAACATCAGTCATATCTCACGTTTTAGTTTCTGTTGAAAACTTTTTCCTTAATCCCACATAAAATAACCATTAAATACAACTATCTATTGGTAACATTATTAATTAGAGAGATCAACTTGGGATCATGGTTTTCAACGTGTTTTATACGGTTGTTTTCAAGTCGCCTTCAGCTGCGTCCGCAGCAATTGTTGTTGCGAATATGTTGTGCGTGCTGATCTCAGCTCATTACATACTTGACTCTTCGAAGAGGTTTAAAATGCGAAAGTAGAGCATCCGGTTGGAGAACAACAGAGGTGAGATTGAACGAATCGACTTATCCCTACTTCTCTCTTTCTCCGACAGATTGCGCTGCTTGTGCACAAAAAACGCCTTCAGAGAGTCGAGTATGTAATGAACTATAATCAGCACGCACAACATATCCTTAACAACAATTGCTGCAGACGCAGCAGAAGGCGAATAGTTCAGTTTACAAAAAGAGTATGATAGGAAGTATGCATGTAACGAAAGGGTATGTATTCGGTGGAAATGAATCGAACGAAGAGTTAAAACGTCAACCGATTAACACAGATTTCATGGGCAAATATATGAATAAGCTGATCAAAATCAGTTGGAAACTTGTATTAGCTATGAAAATTTCTAATTGCAGTGTCTCGTCGTTATGATCAGCCAAGATTTTGATGTTCCGCGATTTTAAGTCCACACGTATCATAGACCCCCAGCAAACCGTTTTTGGGTACATTTTTGTCGCATTTTTTTGCTTCAAGACCACTGTGTCAAATTACGGACAAAATATCTCTGAAAAATCGAAGAAAAAATATTCACAAATTTTCCTAGAAATTCGTGATTTCTTCGATGGACATTTGGCAACTCCTAATGGCTCATACGACGTTCTTCCTAAGCAAGGCAGTGTTGTCCTAGGCCCCTTCAAAAGCTCTAACTATTTTTCTCAGCTTCGCATTAGGGTAGAAAAGTTGCGTTTTGGTATATAATGAAAGATTATCATAAAAAAAATAAATAATAAAGAATATATCGACGGTGTAAGTCGGCAATCACATAACTCGGAAAACGCGATTATTCAGGAGAAGGAAAAAACTCTCTACATTCCTCATCTTTGAAGGTAGAGGAGAAATAATTCTTAGAGACAGCAAGGATAAGATGCTTCATAAGACTCTATCATCATTTTGAATAATATTTTTGTCTGTCAGGAGAAATGACCGAAAAACCGAGTTACCGCTGGGAAGCAGAAACAATGATTAGTATAATGTTTGTAAATAGTACCTATTTATAAGCGTAGTTAAGTTAGAGTCCTCCAACTCACCGGCTCTTATTTTAATATCTCTTATTTTTATCAATAACGTAAAAACGGTTAATACTTTTGTAGTTCTGTTGTATTTACAAAATAAAAAAAAAAAAATAAATTAAAAAAAAAAAAAACCTGTTCACGATTCTTCCCGGGAGAGCGCGCGTTGTGTAAAAATGCGGCGCGACGGCACGAGTTATGTGTTATTGGAATTAATGCCGAGATATGTGTTTTGAGTTCTACGTTTTTAGGTGACTTCCAGATTTTTTTCCACTGAAATATTTTGACAGCAGGTAAAGGGCATCTACTACACTTCATTTCTGCAGCTAACTCAAAACCGCCAAAAATCGAGTTATGTGATTTCCGACTTACACCGTCGATATCTGGGTCCCCCACTGCTTACATTGCGCCAAAAGGCTAAAACATTGTTCTAAGTCAAATTTTCTGCGTCCAGTTTTTCTTCCCTTCATAAAGAATATTCTGTAAAAATGTCAATCCGTGTCGTTGGCTCGGTCTCCTTGTTAAAAATAAAACAGGGGCGGAGATTTCGCAACACCGCAATCGAGATACGCATTTTTGCAGTTTCACCATCAATATTGGACGTATTTCTGCCAAACAAAACTATGTGTATTAAGACATGAGCCCTGAGACCCACAGGAATATATCGACGGTGAAACTACCAAACCGCGTATCTCGTTTGCGGTGTTTAAAAATCTACGCTCGCATTTTATTTTTTTGAAGTAGACCAAATCAATATCATTCCTTGACATTTTCACAGAATTTTCTCCGCACGAAGAGAAAAATTCACAGAAATTTTCAAGACTGGACGTTGAGTAGTTTTTCATTTAAAAAATAAAGTATGACAGGAAGTCTGCGACGTCGCAAACCGAGATACGTGGTTTGGTAGTTTCACCGTCGATATGTCTAACAGGGCCTACGCCAGAATGCACATGGTTCCGTTTGCTGGAAATACGCCCTATTGATTGTAACGAACTAAGTACAGGCGTTAATGCTTGAATTTCGATTGCATCCATATGAAATGTAATTATAGCGGAGGAATATCTTGATAACTGGAGGAAATATTGCAACAGCGCCTTTTCGCGAACTCAGTTTGCGTCTCTGTAGTAAAGTTTGAGGAGGAGCATTTGAAAGACAGCAACTACTTTGAACTTAGATCCAGCTGCTTATCTTTAAAGATTCCTTAATAACTGCAAGTTCTCAGCTTCTTGTATAATGGCAGTCTTACAGTGTATGAAGACACCGATCTAACTTTCCCTTATTGCAACTTGCAAGGACACGAAGGAAGTGAAACTATGTCGCGTCAGTTCTGCCGTGCTGAGGAAAAACGCCGTATGAACCTTCAGACGTTGCCAAATTTCCTCCAATGATAATAAAATTTACTGAGAAAATTGTGAATATTTGTTTTCAAGATGTTTACGCACTTTAATCTAAAATGTCTGAAAGTTTCAAGGAAATATATGCATGAATTTTGTCAAAAATACATGTTTCATCGAAGGAAATTTGGCAACTCTCGAACGTTCTTCACGGCGTTCTTCCTTCGCACGGTAGAGTTGTAACCGTACCTTATGGCATCTATGATACGGATATGAAGTGGGATTAAATTTGAAGGAACATCAAAAATGCAAATGTCAATATTTTACTAAATGCATTTGAATTTTTTAATACGATAAAGTGGCTAAGATTAAGACGAAAGAAATAACTATTGTATTTACCTCTCAGTCGACAAACTCCCAGCTGCAAAGATTGTAATAGCTGAAGAACTTCCTCGCAAAGCTGCTTCTTGAACGATAGAGCTTTCTCGTCAAGTTCTGTAACAGAGAAGTTTTAGGGTCCGGTATTTATCACGTTTTTCTTTATACTTGAGTAAGAATCAATATCTGCTAACATAAAATACCCTCTTTCAACCGGGCACAGTTGTATTAATGCCCCCCCCCCCTTGAAAATATGTTTGAAAATGTAAAAAAAGGGTTATAAAAAATATCTAGAAAAACTGGCTGCTTCGTTTCTGCGGAAAAAGGAGAGAGAAAATTTCCAATTTAGGAACTTGGAGGACAAGACGCAAGAGAGCAGTTCTGGAAAAAAAATTGAGATTTTAATGATTTCAAGTAAAACTAGTCTAAATGCATATTCTGCGAAAAATTTTCTCCTGGATTCCAATTTTCAAGCATCAAAAAGTCACTTTAAATTTTCTCTCCGAGGATCCACTTAATTTCGAAACTTCAAACACGTATTTCTCGAAATAGCAAAAACTGCACTTAGGCGCCTCAATGCTCTTAGCCCTAGCTGCACTTAGGCTCCTCTAAGTCCCTCAGTTAAATGATGTCGACCATCTTAGTTTTTGGACGTTTTTGTTGCCTTGAGGCTTACCGTACTTATCATCACAAAAAACCCATTTCCTTGGCAGTTTGTTGCCACGCTGAGAAGCCCTTTTTTGTGGGGAAAAGTCATTTCCTCTCTTAGTGATCGCTGACTATGACGTAAATCAACTTCCCACTTTCCCTAATTTTTCTGATCAGTGGCGAGGTGCGAATAATCGATTATCGACATTTCTCCCGTTTGACGCAATGGGAAAAAATCAATTAATAAGGTGTTAGTTGCGAACACCCTGTTCAACTTTCTCTCTGCCTTAAGTATCCGTGTAATTTCGAAACTTCAAACACGTATTTCTCGAAATAGCAAAAACTGCACTTATGCGCCTCGTCCTCAAAGGTCATCAATTAGAGATACGCAACTTCAGACGTCAGCCGTAAATCTTTTAGGTTACAACTGTTTCATATTTCATTTCTATTAAAATATTACAGTGTATAAAATATTGTAAAATTGTAAGATCGCTCCCTCGCTGTTTTTCTAGAATCGTCTTTTACGGAATCGTCCAATTTCAAGGATACATATTTTCAGTCTAATGAGATAGAGTACAGCTGATTATAAAAGAGCGTATTCACGGTTTTGAGGAACTAAAATGGACATATTTATGCTAAAAGGAACTATGTGCATAGGAGTTTTGGTTTTTGGAAGGCCATTTTGCTTAACCCTCCTTTTTCTGAGATAAAGTTACAGAGCTTTAGAAATTAATTTTTAAGTCCGTTATGGTGTCTATAAGAAGCAAAATGTCAGCTAGAACTTATGACTCTTTGATTTTAAAAGAAATTCCTTTGATTTTCATAGTAGCTCGAGGACTCAAGGAGCCTCCTGCGCTCAAAAATGTCGACGGTGAGAGTCGGCAATCACATAACTCGTTTTCAGTGTCTGAAAATCTCCGCCTGTACGTCATTCTTTTAAAGGAGAACAAATTGACATTATTTCTTGAAGTTTTTGCAGAATTTTCTTCGAATTGAGAAGAAAATTAATGACACTTTTAAAGCATTGCCGTTGAGCAGTTTTCCATTTAAAAAATTAAGTGTGACAGGAAGTCTGCGACGTCGCAAACCGAGTTATGTGATTGCCGACTTACGTCGTCGATGTCTCATTGGCACCGCTGAAGATTCACCTTAAGTCACCTTCAGACGAATATTTCGGGAGCCCTCTCGTGAATTTCAACATAGGATTCCGGATTGAATATTCAAGCGTTGCGAAGGAAACAGTGAAGCCGAACAGCTCTTATCATACCACAACCACCAAAGGCTAGAATAACGTTTCCTCGAAACTTCCTCTTGATACCACTGCAGAGCGCACCGGGGCTCTTACAGATNGGGGGGGGGGGGGGGGGGCTGCAGCGGACACAGAGTAAACAATCAACAAGGGCGTTTTAATCTTATTAGGCGAAAGGGCCGATCGGTGCATTATCCCGTCGCGAAACTCACAGTTGATCGACCATCGGTCAATTTGCTGACGCCGCTCTTGCCAGCTTGCACAGTGCATCATGATATTTATTCAAGGTTGCCTGCACTGCCATGTTGGGGATGAGAATACACCGATTAAATGGACGCTGGTTTAACATCCTAGATATAACAACATGTGCGACACCTCTCAAACCGCTGAATTAGCCGCCACAGCAGTACATTTTAATGTCCCTGAAGAAAAAAAAAAAAAAAAAAAAAAAAAAAAAAAAAAAAAAAAAAGCAGTACATTTTACGTCTTGACATTGCTATAGTAATTGCAGCAGCGGTTACTTCAGCATTTTGTGAGTTTTCGCACACTTTTTCACGTCCAGAATGTTCAATCAGCACCCTTTTTTGCCGGTGTAGTGCTGTTGTGTTCCCGAAAAAAAGCAGTGACGACCAAATTTTCGAAATCGAGTTTTCTTGTTCAAAACTTGGCAGATCTAACCGAAGCAAATTGAATGTTTTCTCCAAAACAGCAACATGTTGTATATTTGGAACGAAATAAAGTTGCCTAATAGTAGGGGATGCTAAAAAATTGACATCATTCCCGACAAATTTGCAGTACAATCCACATGACTTTGTATAAAAACAGTATCTCTTACGGCTTTCTTCGGTTTGACACCTTTTTTGGCGAATTTTCGACTTTGGTTGTTATTCGTCCAAACCGGGTTTTTTTTTTTATTTTTTATTTATGAACAAAACTACAGAGTATTAATTGTTTTTACATTATAAGGTTAAAATATGATTAGTAAATGAACTTTTGAGTCTAACTTTAGACTCTAGCTTATAACTAAATTATATATACGTACTATGTATAACTGTTAATTTAGTTGTTAGTTCCTCCCCCTACGCCAGTGTCAAAAGATGAAAAGCTGACAAATTCAAGGAAATGTTGAATGTTGCATTTGGTCTGACGTTGGGGGGCAGGACAAACAATAGCTGGATTTTTAGATATATTTAAGGTCCAAACCGGTATCACTGCAGCAAAAGAAAGCACGAGCACGTGCGACTGTTTTGCCTGAACATGTTTAGTCGACAAGTTAGCGCTCTTGTTTTTTCTACTTATTTTAAAAGTTATAGAAAACTTCAGGGCTCACCTGTCCAAGTGTACTTCGGTTTATGGCCTAAACTCCCAATTACGCTAAGCTTAAGACTTACGGCCACCTGTCCGAGGCGCCCTTCCAGCGAGGTCTTGAGCGCCGACAGGTCCTCGAGATCAGGGTCAGGAGTAGGTCCGGCGGCGATGTTGCGGAGGATGGAGATCTGTTGCTCCGTGACCACCCGGTTGCATCGTCCGCAAGTCCAGGCGCAACTTAGGGACAGCGGATCTGTAGGCGAGAGCTGTCCACCGCAACCACGGCTCGGGCAGTCCATCATGAACAAAAAGGTCCCCAGCTCCTGTGTAAAAAACCGAGGTTTGCAGAAATGAAACATTTTTTAAAAAAATTGATTTGTTCTGTAATGAACCCCAGCCCAGCCCTATTGGAAAAACTTAGGTTTCTTTTGCGTTACACTTAAAAAATAAGTACTAAGTTTACGGTAGTAAGTTTTTATACCTGAATCAGTGAGATCGAAAACACACCAAAACTCGAAAAAAAAATGAAAATAATTAAGACACACACAAAACTGCGCAGTGGGTGAAGAATTTAGTCTAAAAAAAATATATTTTTGGTGCTAAAAAACAAGTTCTCAAGGAAAAAGATCTAGATCTTCAAAGATCTAGAATGGAACAGATGCGTTAATTTCAATGACCATCATGGAAATTAACCGTCTCTAATGAAAAGCGAGTTACCGATTTGGTTTATTTTCGTTCTCACTGATTCAAATATGTATTTGAAATAAAAAAAACTTTGTTATCATATTTCTAACGAGGTATTATTCAATGAGAGCCACCATTTGAACTTCCTTAAACCTCCAAGAAAAGGAGCTGTTTCGAGACGACTATAATTGTTGCCCTATATCATTTTCATTAACTCCTTAGACTCCGCAGTTTTTAAATTGTTGAACAATACATTGGCGATGTGTTCTCGTGTTTTGCTGTGTACATCGGCAACGCTGCCGCGCTAGTCTCATCAATACAGATGAACTTTTAGTCTCGACTTTCCCGATCCGAATTGTTTAACGATCGCCCTTGACGCGGCATGGAGACGATGGGACAGCCTGCTTTATTGCCCGTATGCTCGTAGACAGCAATCGGCCCACAAGACAATCTGACTTAATCTATTGATCGAAGCACTTTCATTCTTAATGGAACTTATTTTTTTATAGTCTCTTTTTTTTCTGTGCTTAAAGGAAACTTTGAGGTGCTGAAATTTCATTTTAATTTCTTATTTTAAGTTCCTGACGATTATTTTGTTACGCAAACATCTCGTGAGCTGCAGGTATCTCCTGAAAAAGAGTGGCGCATATTAATAGCAAAAAAGCGGTTTTGGACTTGAGAAAAATGATGTTGTTGCCGCCACAATCTGTGAGGACTGATTTTATTACAGATCCGGTTTGTTCTCTGTGGCACTTATCAGCGTGGTCGTTTGGGGTCTCAAATGAAAATTTAATTCATATGACAAATGCCTGAAAAAATATCAAATTAGCATTAACATTGCAGTAACAATGAGTGCCAATTGAAAGATTGCATATCGATAGTTTTAGTAAAAAAAACCTACCTCCGATGGTAACGTAATTTTTTATAGATAGATTATTTAAGAGCAATACATTTTTGGTGAATTTTCTCTATGAAAAATAAATCGGAAGATTTTGAAACAAAATAGGATACATATAAATATTGTAATAGAAAAATTGTTCCAAGGGGATAATTATTTTATTAAACACATTTCATCCGATAATGGCTTAAAATGTTCTTTCCGGCGTTCTTTCCGCATTCTAAATATTGCCATGCTAAGGAAAAACGTCGTATGAGCCTTCAAGCGTTGCCAAATTTTCTTTTGACTGAATGCGAATTTTTCGGTAAGCTCATGAATATTTTTCTTCCAGTTTGTTAGTAAATTTTGTTCGCGATTTCACCTGAATTCGTGAAAATTTCATGGAAAAGTATTACAAACTTTCCTCCAAGATAACATTTCATCGAAAGAAATTTGGCAACTCTTGAATGTTTATACGGCGTTCTTCCTTAGCACGGCAGAATAATATGCCGTGCTTCTCCAATTCGTTTATGTGTCCTAGTCTGGTTTTTAAATGACCTCTTTTTGAACGTTGGCACTGAACAAGTTACAGTCTACTTAGTATAATAGTCAAATGGACCACATTTTGCAATAAGGAACCACTGTTTCTAGCTCATTTTAGAAACAACATATATGACATTGGTTTCCCTATGAAGGAAGGTGCTTTTATGGAAGAGCCAGAGATAGTGGTTCCTTATTGCAAAATGTAATCCAAATATATATACCACGTTCACTGCAAAATACAATATCCTATGCATGATGTAAGCGCTTTACGTTTTGTTTAAAAATGATCCTATTTTAGACGAAAAGCGATTCACAGCCGTTACACAGAGTAACGGATTTGTTTGGCCGCTAAAAGATGTGTAGGCGGTAAAAATGTGACCCCTGAGAACATTCCTGAGGAAGCCTCAATATCAAGAAAGGTTTTTAATTGTATTAAAGTCAATTTGCGTCGATACCCATCACGTTGAACCTTCGAAAAATAATTAACGCCGAAGTATTACGAGATAATTTAAGTAAAATCATTACCGAGGTATAAATTTCCGGCTCATACCAAAAGTTGTTTGGCCCTAAAACTTGATGATCTTAATTGAAATTCACTCAAGTGGTTTTAGTTTTCAGCTTACTGCATGCGCTTTTTTTCACCCGACCCTCCGCGATGAAAAAGAGCGCATTATTTTATCAGTGGAATATTTGTCACGTTCGATGCAGGTTAAGTGCTGACATTTCTATGTCACATGTCGGACACGGCAGTACAAAAAAGTTCCGCGCACAATAAATTGCTAACAGGGGATGATGTATGTCTCGTCCAGAAAAAAAAAAACAAAAAAAAAAAAAAAAAAAAAAAAAAAAAAACAAGTGCGGCAAATGCGGACCGTTAGTCAACAGTGAAAAAACTATCTGCTTTTCATTGACGCGTCAATATATAGAGGCGTTTTGTTTGCCATTTTGTGAGTCCTCGTCTTTGAGTCGGACGTTTTTCTGCCGAATGAAACAATGTACATTTCGACGTGAGCTCTGTTATGCATATGTTTTTATGGGTCTCAGGGCTCATGTCTTAATGCGCCTAGTTCCGTTTGGCAGAAATACGTCCAATTCAACTTCGACCGTTAGTTTCTCCATGCGTACACATTCTTCTTATAAGACATGAGAAAGACATGAGGGCAAACCTTTCCTTTCTGCCCTCTCAGAAAAATATACATTCTTTGGATATGAAATTCTACGAAACCATCGTTTTGTTTATATTTGGATATATACAGTGAAAAAGAAACTAAGTATTGAAAATGTAGTGAATCTACGTAGTCTATCTTCTGCAATCAATCCTCTTTACTACACAAAATTAATTTTGTGCATTTTTTTTTCAGTTTTCCTCCTCCTCCAAAAACATTCCTTGAAATTTCTGCGCGACAGTATCAGGTGATATTATTTGAATCGCATTTTGCAAAAAGGAATCAGCGCGTTTACACTGTTTTCAAAATTGTATAGCTTCTTCTTTTCTTTTAAAAATACTTAACTACGTACAGTATTCAAATTTATACAATTATTTTTCTTTTACATCAAAACTTATTTGGTGGGAAGACAAAAACTATGTGCTAATCTGGGAGATTTTTTAGATAATTATGAAGAAGCAACATTTTTGCAACACTGTTATCAAACCGGTTCCTTTTTGCTTAATGCGATCCATTTTAACGAAAATGAAAATATTATGCCGGCGCTATTGATGATATAGATGTTAGCTCTAATTTTCATCGGAACGTTCATCGCTTGGCAAACCCGCCTTCAGCCGAAGTTGACTAATGACACGTTTTAAGCGTTGTTTGTTCTTTGATCGTGTATGATTCCGCCCTTTTTGTACTAGCTGCATTATTCTCGCTTTTTGACATGCTCGAAGCCGTTATTGCAGGGTTCAACTTTGATCACTTGCTGCCACCACCACACAATGAAAGCGCGGAACGATGACGTCACACTTTGATGTATTGCTCAGACTGGGGCCTGATTTATTGTGCGGCAAAAAAGTAGTGGATTTGCCGCGCACAACGTAATCCAAGTTCGTACAACCAACCTCAAGCTGGGATATCACGTAGAAAATAATGTATACTTAATATTGGCTTTTAATTTTGGGTTGAGTAAGGTAACATTTTTGTGCATTATGTTTGTTTTAAAACTAAAGAAAGCAACTGGTGCCTCATCGGGAAAAACTCTCATTTTGCACAAAATTAAACTATGACAACCATGAAACTGTAAATATGGATTACATTTTGTAATAAGGAACCAATATCTCTGGTTCTTCCATAAAATCACATACCTGCATAGGGAAAGCAATGGTAAGTATGTTGTTTTTGAAATGGGCGAAAAATTGCGGTTCCTTATTTCAAAATGTAATCCATATGATATAGGAGCAAGTGGATCGCATTTACCAAAAAGGAACCAGCCCAATCACAGTGTTTCCAAAATCGTGCGACCTCTTCTTTTCTTTTAAAAAATACTCGTACAGCAGTATTCAAATTTATAGAATTATTTTTCTTTTAAATTAACAATGTTTTGGAGGGAAGAAAAAACTATTTGCTATTCTGGAAGATTTTTTATATAACTATGAAGAAGCAACATTTTAAGGCACTGTAATCACGTTGTTTCATTTTTGCTAAATGCGATCCAAGTATCTGTATTACTCACTGAAATAAAAAAAAAAAAAGTCGTCGGAAAGAAGGAAAATAAATTTCGTCGGAAACATTGAATACGAATTAACAATTGTGTTTTAGAACATTCCGTCAACGATTTTTTGTCCGTGCACCTGTTTCGTCCAGGAGTTTACGTCCACTCTTGAAATAAGCAACAGTGACTTGCTCCAAGCGTTACATTTTAGTCCGTATGCAAAATTATATTAAGTACTTTTGAAATCATTAAAGATGACACGGAACAACCAGAATATTTACAAAACACACAATACATATTCCTTTAATATTTTTTTTTTAATCAATTGAAATGAGAATAATCTATGCAGAGTGTGCAAATATTTCAAAACCATGAGTTGAATAACGCTGACTCCGCGAGTTAGATATTAGAGCCAAACACAGAGCGGAGCGGCGCACTGCCGACGCACAAGGCGCACTGGCGCCTACAAACCTAATGTGATACTTCACTCATTACGCAATGCTTGAAGTATCCATTTAGGTTTGTAGGCGCCATCGTGTTGGCTGCAGCGAGCCACGGCGCCTCAAGCAACTATTTCACAACAGAGGTGTTGCACAGTATCATACGAAATTGAAGGTGCTCCAACATATTCAGAATGACAGACATCCTTTAAGAGTACAAAGCTCTCCTCGCAAAATAAATCAAGATACTACGTCACAAAAAGAGAGCGATTGTCAAAAAACTCACGAAGTCCTAGCATCCATATTTTAGAAGTTATTAACCATGTTTTAAAAGTTTAGAATAATTTTTTCATTTCATTAGAGAAAAAAGTGACTCAATTTAGGCAGAAACATTCTTTAGTATGCCGTCGAGAACATTTTATTTTGAATTAAGATTAAAATTTCTGAATGAAAGCGGGTTTCTGCTTGATGTAAGTGACTTTTCTTCATATAAATGCATCTTTTCTTCTTTAAACAAGCATAATTTTCTTTGTCGATTCAAAAGTAAATCTTTTCGGCGGTGAATTAGAGCAAATTTCTGTTTGAATCAAGTCGTTTTTTCTCTAATGAAGTTCAAAAATCATGTGAAACGTTATTGAATACAGATACTGGGACACAGTAAGTTTTTCGACTATCGCTTTCTTTTTGTTGTCGACACTCATTTTAATTTGCGTGGAAACTTCGTGCTTTTGAAAGATGCCATCAATCATGAGTGCCAATCAAGTTAAGGTGCCTTCAATCCTGAATGATACTGTGCACTACCTCCGTGGAATAACAGTAGCTCGAAACGCTGCGGTATGCGCACGGGAAGTCATCGCACACAGGAAAAATCTAAGAGCCTTTAGCTGAGGCAAATCAAAAGATTTATCCGGTTCAGGTTTAATAAAATGGAATTTTCTTGAAAGATAATTGGACGTAGTTCTACCAAACAGACCTATGTGCAAGTGAGAAATGTGGGGTGTGCTCGTTGAAGCTGCATAAGAAGCAATGTAAAAGTGGGTGTGGTTCCTTTTGTAGAATTGGAAAAGCGGGATGTTGCATTCTATCAAACAGACCTATGTGCAACTGAATGCGGAACTCATGAGCCGCGGGCATGGCAAGAGAGCCTTGTGGACAGGGCTCACGAGTTAAAGCGCCCCGACGACGATCTTCCCCTCGCTCGCGGGCGTCATCATTGCCGCTGACGTCACTGGCGCTTTATTATTCCCATTCACTCTTACGGCCAGAGAACTAACGAGCACACCCCACATTTCTCACTTGCACATAGGTCTGTTTGGTAGAAATACGTCCAATTGAGTCCTGTTGTACCAAAGATGTGTAGAGAGTTTTAGTGAATTTTCCATCATGGAATTGACGCTTCCGGGCTTCCCCATTTGTACCAAAAATCTCAATCATATATTTTTCTCCGTTGAACCAAAGAAACAAGAAGTAGAAAAAAAAAGCAAACCTTCATACTTCCAAGGCGTTTTACATTTTTATCCATAAACGTCGTCAGCAATTGTCGTTTGTATTTGCATAAGGACCAAGTGACTTTGGGCCTCAATAATTGTTAGGTGCATCAAAGCTCCCCTGCCGAAAAAAGATGTGAACGTAAACTACCAGAAAAACCGGTGCGCGGAGAAAAAATCGTTGGCAAAATGTCCTATAACCATAAATAAATGTCCTATAGCCAGGTGGGCGGCCTCCGGCTTTGGCTCCGTAGGGGCCAGGTGGGCGGCCCCCGGCCTCGGCTCCTTAGGGGCCAGGTGGATCACCTCCGGAGTTTTTTCTCCCTAAGAATATCGATTGGCATTGCTTTAATTCGTACCCCGTTGCCTGAAGTCAATGATTCGCCTTCAAATGGCCTGGTATGCAGAATGACTACCTTGCCGCACGAATAGTGGTATCAGAATTTTACGTTAAGTTTACGGGTTGATTTGAAGGCGCTCTTCTGTATCCATTGTAAGTAGCCTTGTGCAATGATGTTGACCAAAAAGTTCATAATTTTTTGTTTTAAATCGAGCCGCAAATTCGAAAAATGCCGAGGAATATTATTTTGAAATAATATTAAGATTGTTTTTGGTCTCCACATTTTATTTCAAAGAAGTGAGCGCCGGTGGCTGGATCAGATTGTGCATTTTAAGTCCCTTGATTGGTACGGTCATCGTATTCTGAAGCGAAACTGAAAGCGTCATCGTTTAAGATCGCAACTTACTCAAAAGCGATTGTGAATTTAAAAAGTTTTGCAAAGATAAAATGAGCTTTCGTTGATTGACTGTGAATAATCAAAATTGAAGAAAAGGTAGTTTGTCCTTTGGTCCATTAAGAAAGCGTAAAGCATGGATAGATGGAGCATTGATGACCAACTAAATCTTATCTGATAGGAATTTTAAGCGTGAAACCCTTTTTTTCAATCTTTAAATGATCTAAATCCACCATCAAGTTTAAAACACTAATTGCAAAAATGCGTATCTCCTAATGAAGTGTCGATTCTTAGTGCCAAAAACGCGAATCTCGGCATTTCTACCGTATTTTCTGACAGTTCGAGAAATTCTTGAAACTGCTGATGGAGTTTGAATAAACATCTTATCCTTGCACCGGTAACGTGTCCCTGTCGAAAATTTGATTCGACTGAAAATTTGGTTCGATCGGAAATCTGACCGACCGGAAACCACAATCAACGGGATTCGTTATCCACCCGAAATTTTACTTGAACGGAAATTGGAAATCTTAATTTCTACTGCACCGAAAATGTGCCCCAATCGAAAACTTGACTCAATTAGATATCGACCCGACCGGAAATGTGTTGCAACCCAGAATTTGGTTGTTCTCGGATGGAGAATAACCAATTTCAATACCAATATATCATCGATTTTCCTAAAAAATCGCAAAAATTCGATATTAGCAATTGATTTATCGACTCGTTAACTTTAAAAATCGATTCTACAAGAAAAAATACGTAGGTGTCGGTGTACTACAGTCATATTAGGTGCATTTAGTCATCCATGAATCAAAAATGAACAATTTCAATCCCAAAAAATCGTCGATTTTCCGTAAAGAATCTAAAAAAATCGATATAACCGATCGATAAATCGACTCGTCAACATTAAAACTCGATTTTGCGTGTAAAAATACGCAGGAACCGGTGTGTATAACATGCGTAAACAAAGATAACAACCCCGTAGACACATCAATTCAACATGAAAATAGCGAAAAATAAGGCCGGAGTTTGACCCCTTTGCCCCCCCGTAACTCGAAAACGGTTCCTATACTCATCCTAAAATTTTTTTCTGAGTTTTCTGTTATTATAAGCTTCCACTTAAACCTTGGTTCAATGGTCGAATCGAATACCGAAAAAGGGCCGAAATTTTGGGAGGCTCTTGCTTTGCTCTTCGGGAGGCTTAACTGCATGCCCCGACTGTCGGGCACGAAACACGTTAAGGTTGGGCTTCGCAGAGGTCATGTGCCCACACCCCCCCCCCCCTGCTCCAGCGTATATCTACGCTTACAACATCTGAACGTACAAAGACATGTTTCCAACTGTAGCGCATTATATTATTTAGCGTAATGCTTTGGGTTACTTGATTGAATGTCTAAAAGTGTAAAACGCCTTCAATTTAGCGTATAGGCTAGATCACGACTCCGGAGGCTTTATAGTTGCATCACGGCAGGCAACACACTCCTTCGCTTATTTTCGCTTGGTTGTGAGTATGATGCCGCAAATAATACAGACGGATCCTTCACGCATGAAGAAACATTTCAGCTGTTTACTCGCAAAAAAGCTCTTTTGTAAACCCTTTAAATAAAGTTGAGATCAGAAAGACGCAGACATCCATCGTTCGATTGACCATTTGAACTCAATGCTTTGTGCTCATATACTTTCAACTTTAGTTGAGAGTTGATAAAATAGATTCATTGAAAAAGAGCATCTGCCAAAAATTCAAAGTAAAACCAGTTCTTTGGTCATAAACATCGTATTTGTATGTAATCACGCACAAGAAAAACTTACAGTCGGATCAAGGCAGCGGAAGCATGAACACAGAAAATGCTTTGTGTCTAGTAGATGTGATCGCCGAGTGGACGTTCCCCAAAGCAAGAGAGAATAAGAAGTCGTGATTTCCTCTCCACACTCAATCGACCTAGTTGCCCTTGCTACCATTCTAGAAAGGAGAAAATTAGGCGGAGATAAAAGCAGAAAGTAATTCACTACAGAGTGTTCAAGTCACAGGAGGATGTTTTGATGAATAAATCTTACCGGCGAGCAGAAAGTAGTGTTATCCAACGGCATAAATTAATGATCCATTATCGATATTCTCTCATTTGAAACTATGGTAAAGAATTGATTATTGAGGTGTTCATGACGAACACCCTGTTTATCGATCCTTTTCCATAGGTTTAAATGGCTGATTAATCAATATACCGCAAAGCTCGCCACGCCACTAATGAGATCCGCCTAATTCGTCGTTTCCCAGGCGAAAGAACGTAACTTTATTTCAAGGTTGCAAATTGACTCAAACAATTCAATTTTTTACGAGAATATACCCGTGGTGTACTTGTGGTTGAAAATGTCCGTAACTTTTTGCATGATATCGGACAAAAAAATCAGTGTAGAATTCAGGTAGAAATAACCAAGATTATCGTGGTAAAAATGCAATTTGTGAGGAAAAATTTGGCAACATTGAAATGCAGTTACGTTCTTTCGTGAGAAAAACGACGAGTTGTCGCCGTATCTTCAAGAGTCAGAAGAAAAGACTCTTAACAATAACATGTTGAATAATGTAATCAGTAATCATGGCTCTGAGGTTCTGCCTATCGTTAATCTGATCGATGCACCACTTGTATCTGTGATGGATATTGATGAGATCAACGTGAGAGAGCTCATGGTCAGTGAAAATTTTCTCGATTTGTCAAAGTTCATGTCATTTTAAGAAATATGAAACAATTGATATTTTCAAAATAGGCTGCCTCATATCGATTATTAATTGTTTCAAATGGTATTATTTGGATGAAGAACCCATACTGCCAATTTGTATGTCCAAAGCCTATGGTATGCAATGCACAAATTAAAGAGCCGATATTCCAAAAACATAACCACGTGTGAAAGTTCTAAAATTTATGATGCGTCTGTGAGTTCGTTAAGGTCTGAAGGCACGACGTTCTATGTTATAAAACACTGTCACTTTCTGAACATTCAGGTTTTCTCGTAAACCGAAACAACAGTAGGAACAATGTTGGAGCTTTTTAAGAAATAAATTAAGATTATAACGTTTCGTGGTCTACTGTTTCAAAAATTTCCTTACGATCTTATGTATTTTAACCGCTCCATAATTAATTCCGAAGGGGTTTTATAATATGCATATCTTTAGTAATGAAAACGCTCCTCCTTAATGTCAAGCCGTATTGTAAGATTAGTCGCTAAAGAAAAATGACTATTTGTTAATTTGTATACAGACCTTTGTCTATCGTCAAATCCTATCCTAATGTTTGGGGAGCAGGAATGGTTCATAATGGCGGCCAGGGGGTAGAGACCTCGCAAACTGGATTCGTAGTTTGCACCCTTGCGGCTGTCCTCATGGAGTGCAACTGTCTCGAAAGCGTTGACGTCCATCACTTGACAGCAAAGTCGCATGAATGCCTCATCTTCGGGCTCAATTTGCTTCTCGACGGACTTCTTCAGAATATCCACCTACAATTAAAAAGATGCGAGCAAAATCTTGAATATTCAGATAAAGCTATGATCACCCGAAAAGTTCGAGTCACACAGTCGTACTTTTTTGCCGCTGTACATGAGTATCCTATAGTTTCTCTTTCCCTCTCGAATTTCAAAAATATGTTGTCGGCATTGACATTTCGTTTAAGGGCTGGCTCCAGAAACTATTTAGCATTTTCATCGTTACCGAGTTATTACCAAAGAAGTAAAATTCCAATAATTAAGATCAGAAAAGAAGTTGAGGCCTGGATTCTACCATGAGCAGTGATGGGACATGGATTTTCTTACTACATGCTGGCCCCAAAACTCGTTTTCTTTCAATAATAAAAATTCCGAACATTTTCAGAATTTGGTAATTCTCGAAATAAACGATATAATTTCGAGTGATATTGGGAGAGTACGGACATATTGAAATATGGAGCTCCTCGGGCCCCAAAAAGCAGTCGACCTATCACAAAAAATGTCACTGCCAATCTTTGCAGATTCCAATATCAAACCAAGATGGCCAAGAATGTTCATATGTATATGAGTGATCTCCCGCTAAAGTGAGTAAAATGCAAAAATTAAGTCAAATACGCGTACACAAATAACGTGTCATAACAATTATAATGATAAATTACTCTTGATCATTTGAATTCATTTGCTCGGTGTCCTTTTGGGCCCGAAAAGTTTTATGACATACCCTCTAAACTACCGATACATCTCTGCACTTTCCGTATGGACCACGTTTTACAATGAGAAACCAAGCAACATCAGCTTTCGCCAAATTTAGCTGGGAAATTTATTTTTTTTACAAAAGAACGCGTGTGCAGATTCCTTTGAAATTTTTAAGCAATATGACTCGTACTATGCAAAAAATTCTCTAAAATTCGCACAAAAATCCGCACAATCGTTTTCATGTAAAAAACAGAAATGCCCAATTAAATTTGGCAATAGCTGATATGACTTGGTTGCGTTCTGCTTGATGAGGTCCATTTTTGTTGTTACATACATACACCTAGGTCGCGTTACAGCACCCCCTCGCGCTCTACGACTCACGAAGCCCTGGTAAAAATTGGCAGTAGAATCTGTGTTCAAAAATACCATAGACCTACAGCCGGCTGTAAGATTTCCAATAGCTTCTATAGCCGGCTACACAATTTATTATAGCCTTCTATAGCCGATGGCGACTAAGCAACAGCCAGGCGATTAAGTGTATGCTAAGCGTTACTAATTACGGATGCTAGGACTTAGTGAGTTTTTGGAATACTGCTCTCTTTTTGGGCCGTAGTATCTTGATTTATTTTCCGAGGAAAGCTCCATACTTTTGATGAATGCCTGCCATTACTAATATATTAGAGCGCCTTCAGTTTCGTATGATACTGTGCAATACATCTGGTGTGAAATAGTTGCTTCAAGCGCCGTGGCAGGCGGGCAGCCAGCGTGGAACACGCATTGGCGCCTACAAACCTAACAGGGATACTTCACGCGTTGCGCAATGCGTGGAGTATCCCTGTTAGGTTTGTAGGCGCCAGTGCGTCACCGCCGCTCCGCTTTGTGTTAGGCTCTAATATTTAATCTGGCGGAGTCAGCGTTATTCAACTCATGATTTTGAAATGTTTGCACATCCTGTATGGATTATTCTCATTTTAATTGATGAAAAAAATATGTATTAAAGGAAAATATAACGTGTGTTTTGTAAATATTAAGGTGGTTCCGTATCAAACTTAATGATTTCCACTTACGAATTTCTACACAATTTCTTAAAGCCTTTTATAATCGATGGCGAAAAAGCAACAGCCAGGCGATAAAGTGTAAAGCCCGGCGATAGGAACTATAGCCCGGTTGTATAATTTTTTATCGCTTCGTATAGCCCGGCCGTATGATTTTCTCCGCATTCTACAGCCAGCTATATGATTTTCTGTAGCCTTCTTTAGCCGGCTATAAGAATTCCTATGGTATTTTGAAACGCAGCTCTTATCGCCAATTTTTATCAGGGAGGATCGACTCAATTAGAGAGGTCGGACAAAATTTGGACACTTTAAACGCTTATAACTCCGTTTATGAAAACCTTGAGGTTCTGAAAGTGAATCCATTTGTTTCCTCGTAAAATTTTCTTCCAGAAGCACTCCTTAAAATTTAAAATGTGACGAAACAAACATTGAAACTTGCAGTTTTAGTCAAAAATCTCATGTCCGACCTCTCCAACTGGCTCGATCCACTCTGTGACACCTAACCTCCACTGCTGTCTGTCGAACCACAACCCTTGAGGCATTGAGCACCTTAACATTTCTGCTTCAATCCCCTGCCTCCAACTTCTTATTCGGCGCCTCCTGCGTTTTCTCCCAGGAGAAACCCAATCAAGGATCTTTATCGGCAACCTGTATCCTGCCATTCTCCCCGGAAAAAATGTAGGTAGCATTTACCATACTCAGGTTAAAAAACTACGCAAACTTCATCAGTATGGTAACTTCCACCAAAATTATTGTCACAGCAAGGAAAAGTCTTGTTACTTTCGCGATAATTTTGATGAAAGTTACCGTACTCTCTGATTGTGCCGTTTCTTAACCAGAATATGGTAAATGCTACCTAATTTTGTTTCTGTGTCTGAATATGACCAAACCAACTTTTTTTTTATATTTTCTGCTTAATGCTGTCCATAAAGAGGAGATTTAATTAAAATATGGGTAAATAAGGCTAAAAGATTATTAAAACACTAAAACACAGGACGTTTCGAGCTGTTACCAGCTCATTTTCAGCTGCGAAAAACCTAAAAACAAGTAAAAAATTGAGTGGCGACCTGACCCCAGCCGTTATCACGTAACCACTGGAATTCAGTGCCGAACATCCGAGGTAGACATAGTGGCCACCTACACACCAACCAATGCGGAAGATGGGTAGGCAACCCCAGCTCCTACACTTTCCTTTTCGCAGCTGAAAATGAGCTGGTAACAGCTCGAAACGTCCTGTGTTTTAGTGTTTTAATAATCTTTTAGCCTTATTTACCCATATTTTAATTAAATCTCCTCTTTATTCGTATATTCGGGCTATGTTTTTGTGCTTTGTTCTTGCTGTCCATAATATAGGCGCTCTAATTCAACTTACCTCGAACGAGTGCCTGGGCTCATCGTTGCTCTGAAGTCTTCTGACGAGTTCCCGCTGCTCTGCTCGGAGGGCAAGACACCTGATGGGCGTCACCGCTTTGTACAGGAGCCGGGAGTACCGCTCGTTGGCGGCTCCCCGGGGCCCCAGTTGGCGGATGTACTCGCACTCGCCGCGGTGGCGGGCGGGGGAGGGGGCGGCCGCGCACCCGGAGCACAGCGGCAGGAGGCAGCCCTTGGGGCAGGCCCCCGAGGGGCCCCACCGCCCGCACTCCACGCAGACGACCGGGCAGCGCTCGTAGGTGCGGGGCCCCACCACCAGGGGGGCGTCGCACAGCACCGCCTCGTGGGCCCGAAACGCCCTCCCCGCGAACACCCCTCGACCCGCCAGCGGCGAGGCTCCCAAAGTCCAGGTGCCTGCGGGACAGAAGGATTGTGAGACTTGGAGAATGCTATTATGGACCACTAGACAAGGTACGGATTTCAGCATTGTGATTCATGATGCTTAACCAAAATGGTAATGTAGCATCGCGTCCATGATATTGGACTCCATGATCACCTATATAATGTTCGGTTGCTCATCATGTCAAAGATATTGGACTTCATGCTCATTTTAATGAGGGATAATTTTTTAGAAAAATCGGAGTGAGAATATCCTCCAAAATTATGGGATGCAGGTATTCTCTGACAACACACGAGCATATGGTCCAAAAATGTAGTTAGACAATTTTTGTGAAATAATGTATTTCGTAAACAATTGTGCATTGGTTAGGTTAAGTTAGGTTGGGTTAGGTTAGGTTAGGTTATGTTGTGTTAGGTTAGGTTAGGTTAGTTCAAGTTTGATGAGATAAGAGAAGTATACGATTTTCTATCATGATGGACTTTAAAACTAAGGAGGGTCCACTTGCTATTGGACTCCATGCTCAAGCAAAGAAGAGATAAGTTTAGCGATGAGCATGGAGTCCAAGATCTTGGACTAGATGAGCAGGCAAGTATATCAAGGGTGAGCATGGAGTCCAATATCATGGACGCGATGCTACATAATCG